TCACTGGTATAGGGGCTCACAAACAGAGGGAACAAGAGCATCTCTGCTCTCTGATGGGGAAACATTGGTGGGAGGCCCCTCCAGGATTCAGGGACCCTCAGGGCAGAGCTGCCCATGATTCTAAACCCAGTGCTGTTTCCTCACCGCAGAGGTTCCTGAGGTAACTGTGTTTCCCAAGTCTCCCGTGGAGCTGGGCCAGCCCAACACCCTCATCTGTGCCGTGGACAACATCTTCCCTCCTGTGATCAACATCTCGTGGCTGAGCAACGGGCACTCAGTCACGCAGGGTGTTTCTGAAACCAGCTTCCTGTCCAAGAGTGATGATTCCTTCCTCAAGTTCAGTTACCTCACCTTTCTCCCTTCTGCTGAGGACGTCTATGACTGCAAGGTGGAGCACTGGGGGCTGGACCAGCCCCTCCTGAGGCACTGGGGTGGGTATGAGCCCCACGCCTTCTGGTGTTTTCTTTTCTCTGTCAAGTCAGACACTCTGCCTTTTAGCTCCTGAATATCATGGCCCAAAGCCTCTTTTCTACACTTCAAGGATATCTATGATAGACTTTATTAATCTCCCTAAACCTGGAGCCAAGTCTTTGTAGACCCAACACCACCCCTCCCACCCCATCTCGCACACATGCTCTGAGCCAACCTTCCACATTCTGACCTCCAAAACCTCACTCCACAGAGCCCGAGATTCCAGCCCCCATGTCAGAGCTGACGGAGACAGTGGTCTGTGCCCTGGGGCTGGCCGTGGGCCTCGTGGGCATCGTCACGGGCACCGTTTTCATTATCCAGGGCCTGCGCCCAGCTGGTGCCTCCAGACACCAAGGGCCCTTGTGAGTCACACGCCAGAAGGAAAGGTAAGAATTCCCATGTGTTAGAGCTGGGGCCAGGAACACAGGACAGGAGGGAGAGTGGGAAGAGATTGTGGACACAACTGTGGTTGAAAAGTTGTAGTAGAATTGGGAAACAGCATGAAGATAGCACAGGAGCCCCTGAGACCAATGAATCTCATGTCTGTCTTGTTACTGCAGGTGCGTTCCAATCCTAAGATCAGAAGAGTGGACATGCTAGGTGACCTGCACTATTCGCTGGCCAAGTCCATCCTATGCCTTCTCTCCTCCAATACCCCTCCTGTCATCTCTTCTCTGGGACTTACAGGCGCTGTGTCCTCGCAGAGTTCACAAACCCTTGGAATTCTCCCCCTCACTCCTGACATTTTGTCTTTTCTCAGCCGTTATCTACTATGGAGATCCCTAGGATATGCTTACATCCTTGTGATTCTGATCTGATATCTCAGTGGAAGCAATAAATCCCTTTATGAGGTCTTTTATTGAATTTTTTCCTCTTTTTTATCTCACAGCTGACGAGGACCATGGCTAAGAATGGCAAACCCTTATTATGCTTCAGGCCCCTTCCATTTTATTTTACAGATATTTCATTCCCAGTAACAAAAGAGCAACCAAATACATCCTATTGTATTTTGATATCTTAGATGAGGTTAAGATTTCTCTCTTCATTTGGTTCCCACCTTTGGCCACTGCCCCTCTCCCCCTCTGCCCCAATTCAGGAATCAGTAAAGATAATACATACCCTCTGCCCTTGGTGCAGTTTTGTTACTGTAATATAGTTTTTTAAAGTTACAATAGAAAAGTTAAGGAAAGAAAATATACATTTGGAATTTCAAAAGTACCAAAAGTAATTTTTTTCTCAAAACTTTAATTTTGTAAAGTTAATGATGATATTAGAAACTTTTTCTCTTCTCTTTTACCTTGAGGAGATAAGAATTCTCTAGGCAGGAGAAGAAATGGAAGTCAGTCAGGAGGGCATTGGAATGAGGCAATAATGCTTTGTCCTTACTTAGGGTTAGTAACCGGTGGGAAAGGGGTGGGAGTAGAAACCACAGGCACATGGGGTCCCTAGATACAGGTGCAGCTTGCCTTGCCTCCTGCTGACTAACCTGTGGATTTTCCTGTGCCATCCTGGCATGTCAGAGACATGGGGCGAATATGGCTGCAGGGTGTGTCCAGGCAGGTAAGCCTCATCAGCATCACTGGATCCTGTGTCCCTGTGCACCTGGGAGAAGGCCACAACTCCAGTCCCAACCTCTGCTCTTGGCTAAGGAAGGCGAGCCTGTGAGGGAGAAAGTGCCTGGGTCCACAGGGATGAGATAATGCAGCAGCAGCGGTGGGTGCTGGCCTGCTCCGGACTCACTGTCTCCCAGTGGAAACCCTGCCAGGGAGATGGACCCACAGAGGGACGCTCTGGAGCTCCGGGTACGTCCAACACTTCACTCCTGAGCGTGTGTGTGACCTGACGTGGAACCATCACACCCTTTGCAACTGTGTTCCCTACGTTGCCTCAGTCATTCAGCCCCACATGACTGCTCCACACATTGCACCTCGGATGGCGCGATGGAACAGCCCCAGTGTGTGTGAGGCTGTCCCTGTCCATGCCATCTGCCTCCAGGAGCTTAACATGTAACTGGGAGAGACAGATACTAGCAGAATAATTGATGCAGCAAAGTTTGGTACAAAGAAAACTAAATCCAAATACAGTACCTTCTAGCTAATATTTTTTAACTGTGTAACACTAGAGTTAAGTATCTAACATTCTGAGCCATATTTTTCTCAACTGCAGTGGTGAATAATACTTACTTGGCAGAGGTATTGACAGAATTTGAATAATCTTGATAAACAGGCAGTGCCTTAAGATGGTGCACAAATGCCTTGCTAGTGCTCCTTCAGCAGCACATTTACCGAAATCCAAACAACACAGAGGTTAGCATGGCCCCTGCACAAGCATGACACACACATTATTGAAGCGTTCCATAGATGCCGAACCACCGTGCTCTACACCTGAGACTGCTATAAAATCATATTGACTGTCAACTGTAATTAAAAAAAATTTTGCTAGTTACAAATATAATTCATTTATTAGAAATAATGGATCACATTATATGGAAGGCACTTTTGTGTTTTAAGCCCTTTAATGACTTAGGAGATTCAAACGTGAAGCTCTGGATGAATTTCTTTTCATACATTAATTGGAGGGTTTCTTTTCCTCTCTAGAATGAGAGAAGTTGAGATTGGGTTAGGCTGAGGGAACGGATAGGGTATAGTAGTCAGTGACATATTATTGGTGAAGGGGTTGCTAAGAGAACTCCTAGAGCAAGAAGTTGTAATATATGGCTTTAGTTTTTACTCTCTAATAAAAGATATCTCCCTTCCATATGGCCTATAAACTTTTAGTCAAGGAATGTTATATGCAACATATTTTTATGTATGTCTACTTTTGGGAGGAGGTGGGAAAGACTCAAGAAAAAAAAGCTACCTGGATAGAAGTAAGAGAATAATTTTAAATGTACAGAAAAATTAGTACTTGCAGGGAATCAGAACCAGAGCACCATGACAGTGTAAATAACAGAGCACAGAGCATTTTTAGGGCCATAAAGCAATTCTGTATGACACCATAATGGTGCACACATTTCATTATACCTTTTCCCAAACCCATCTAATGTACAACAGCAAGAATGAACCCTAATGCAAACCATAGACTCTGGGTGATAATGATGTGTCAATGTAAATAAAAATGTTAATAAGGAAAAATTTATAGGTAAACTGAAAATGCAGAAAAGTGCTGAGAAGAGTTTTCCATTTCAATGATTCACGAGGCAAGAACTCGGCATTTTGGAGGGGTGTGTGTGTGTGTGTGTGTGTGTGTGTGTGTGTGTGTGTTACTGTAATATAAGGCTCATATTGAATGTCATTATGACCAGTGTCCCAGAAATACACAAATGCTGCCCTATTCATACTCCCACATGAAGTACTTAGAAAAGCAAACTTATTGTTAGTTGTATTTTATTAAAGGGATTCTTTTTTTAAATTTTCATATAATTTTAAAATAGCAAAATTAACC